TTTCGCTTACAGGTACCACGGCACGATCACCCTTGAACACTAGTCCATTCTGAACTGTCAATTCATCACGAAAGGTATAAAATTGATACAATTACTCGGGTCAAACAACATTTACATGTTCAAGTTCCTTTTCCAAGATGGAAGACTGGTGTCCCTCAACATACGCTCGGCTGAGGTAGACGTAACAACATTCGCTGAAGTCTCTTAGGTGCACTATGTATAGCCTTTCTGGTAATTATCTCTAGTGGCTTATGGTCCGACTGAATTGTGAGGGGTCGGCCATATGTATAAGTCTCAAATTTATCCAATGCAAACACAACGGCCAGTAACTCCTTTTCAGTTTGGGCATAATGCTCCTCAGTTGTAGTAAGGGATCTGGACGAGTAACAAATTGGATTACCATCCTGAAGGAGACAGGCCCCGAGACATGTTTAGGAAGCATCACATTGTACGACTGTTGGCTTCCTTGAGTTAAAATATTTCGATACAGGTGCTTTTGTAAGCACATCCTTAATTTGTTCGAGCGCTCTGTCATGATCATTGTCCCAAACAAACTCAACATCCTGTTTGTCGCAACGGCGTCGTAATGTCCGACAATGATGGAGCAAACTTCTGCACGTTGTTCACGATTCCAAGTAGGCGCTTAACATCAGATTACAGATTCATCCAACTCTAACTTATGTGTTCCATCCTGTTTCCCATCGCCGTCAAATACACCTGTTTTCTCAATCTCTGCGATTGTATCTGTTACAGTGTTTACAGTGATGATTGAAATTTCCACACTTCAAACATTCCTTACCCCAGGCAGGACATTTACGTACTGGGTGTAACCTACCACAGTTTCTACAGTCTATGTTATTCTTGTCACCAACATGTACTCTATTTGACTTGGTATGTGACTTGACAACCTGCACCTCCTCATGTAGGATACTTTTTCATCTGACTGGACGTCTTCTCATTAGTCCTACATAAGTCGATGCATTTCTGAAGGGTTAATGTAGGTTCCTGTAGTAATTTCTTCCGTGTAGCGTTGTCATTTACGTCCATAACGATTCTATCTCTCATTAGACTATCCTCTAGATTTCCATAGTTACATGTTTTAGCTAAAGGGCCTGTTTCCAGTAATGTTAATTCCCCATAGGAGCCTGCCCCCGTATAATTTCTTATCTAGCTCAACTACTGTTTTTTTCTTTTCCGAAAAATAATTTGACACCTTTCCAACACCCAGATTTCATAATTTCAGTGAAAATGTATTTTTATAAAGTTATCAATTTCAGCATCAACGACATAAGTTCGTAAATAAAAGATGGTTATCTCGAAATTGTAATTAGCAACATAGTATAAATTTCTTTTGATAAATATTTCAAAAACATCGTGTTTATTCATAAAACATTAAAAAAAATATTCTCGGATGAAAATGCACTTGCAGAGACACAATTATGAAGAAAAATGCCATAAATTTGCAATTTTCTCCCGTTATATAGTTTTGGATGCAAATTTCCATCAGAAAATCGGATAGAGCTTTACTTGTTTCATATGTGTACCAAAAATCAGCTAATTCCATGTGGTGGAACGTTCTCATATCGCCGCCTGAATGTGGTTGTAAATTGAAAGAAAAGGGGAAATGAGTAACAACCTCGTCTGAAACCCTGTTATATAGCTTATTATATACAAACTTTTATATTGAATATCAGAGCGGATGTTTTCATGACAGTTTTATGATGTGTAAAAAAAAAGTACTGTTTCCCCGTCTCGATCTTGATTACTTGAGAACCATTACGTGTGGAACGTATCAGATATCTCTGGCTCCTGGTTACATCGCCGAACATTTAAGTGATGACGGCGACTATGAGGTGTGGCTTTACCAGCACTCCCCAGACCTTCTCAGATGTCAAATACATTCTCGACACAAAAGCCAAACGAAATATAACGTTTGGATACTGTTCACCGTTTCACCCGATGTTGAGGCCCCAATAAAGGACTACTACTGCCAGTGCCCAGTTGGAGAGAGAACGATGGATATGTGTGCGCACATCTCCAGTATCTTGTACTACCTTGGGTATTACAGGACGCTGGAAAACCCTCGACCATTACAACCACAGGTGAAGAAATTCCGACAAAACTTAAAATAGTTTTCAATGCGGCAACAGAGTGCATATGTCAAAAGTATGTTTGGGGCTCGATATGAAAGATCCCCGTTACCATGTGACTAACCTAATATAGGTATTAGATAATCGCCCGTAGCTATGAACACTCCCGTAAATGCGAAAACCAACCAAAATCATAAGGAACACGTTTTGTTTGTTGTTCTGTCTATTTGTCAGCCAATGTCTTCAACAACGGGGACTTGCGAAGTAGCCATCTTGGATTTTTCATGAAAAAGTGTTTCCCTCACTTTTTTTCATATCTGTGTACATATTCTCAACATACCGATCAAATACTCTCGTTTTTTTGTTAATTATCTAAAGAAAGTCGAAAATCGGCAATTCAACCACAGGCTAATTCAACCCAACATTTGAAAATGTTCCACCACTTACATTTTGATGATTATTCCTCTCATCAATAGCATATTACGTATTATTTAATAGGATAAAAATTGGTTTGCATCCAACGCCCATAAAAGGGTGTATTCTCTAAAAAAAACACAGTTTTTGTGTCTAAAGTGTTATCATCGAAAATGGCATTTTTGAGATTGTTTCTTCCATAAAACAGCCAAATGGCGCGATGGAAACATGATTTTTTGTCACAATCATGCCATGAATGTATTCTTTACGGTGATTATCATTTGATTAGATTTTCATTAATATTTTACATAACATGCACATTTTATCAACACTTAGACAGCTTCTGAATGGTACAACTTTGAGGAGCCATAAAAAAACAAACCAAGTTAATCAAATCTTTATACTTTATAGATTTGTGACCACAACGGCATGGGCAATGCACCACCAACAGGAAATTTGAATCAGAGAAGGGGCCGTTTTGGAAACTGGCCCTTTCTCAGCGTATACACATAATAATCAACAGTCTCATTTGGTCCCTGATCGCGTTTGTTAAAACAGTACCGCTCGTACGTTTCGTTCGTCTGGCCTATACAGAACGTGTTAAAGGCTTTTAAAAAGTTCAGCAATATCAATATTCAAACCCTTCGTACAGTTCTATAGCATCTGGCCTTACACATGAAAGGAACGTTGCTGTTCTTATCTCAGCCTCCTTCTTACTTAGACCTGAGGCAATTTCATAATTTGACCATATTCTTTTTAATTTTCTCCAGTTTGTAGCCAAATTTCTTTTAATATCCAATTTTGGCGGGAATGGCATAGCATAAGGTGCATGGGTTGCCGGAGGTGCGTTTTCAGCCATGATGAAATTTTACGTGACCAGTTCGTCTTACGGTAATGTACTTTCATCAAATCCCTGATCTGACACCATGTTACGCTCTTTAGCGTAATTAATTAGAGCGTTACATTACTGCATAACACAACACGTGTGTTCATTATTGAACCGGAAGTTTAATTCTCGTATTACACACAAGTAGATTGTACTACGCACATGTATGTGCTTGCATAGTAGGGTTTCTCAGCCGAACCAATATGTGTATACGTTACACGCATCTCAACCTTGCTACCGATATAAAATATTCTTAGACACTAAACAATGACTTCAGTATGTATTTTTTTTAAACTAAAACGTATCATAGGGTGTTATCAATTGGTGGTGAGCACCGATACTTAGATATGAACTTTAGATTATCCTTCCTTTCAAGCAAGCATCTTTTACTTCTAAAAGTTATCCAGCGTATGTTTTCTGTGGTGTTATTAGTATTATATCAGAGCCTATTTTAGGCCCATAATCTTCTAATGTCACACGTCGCGGTTAAACTTAAAATATTACCAAGGAGCTCTTCCTAGAATTATAATTGAGACACAAATGAGTAGAATATGTATTTATATCATTTTTGCCAGTGAAAAAGAGTGAAATATATGATTAATGAAAATGTTATTTCATAATGGATTATCACATATACCATCAGCGTTACATAAAAGCAATATATATGCATGTTACGTAACGCATTCACAGATAAAAATCTTATGAGAATATCTGTTCTGATTTAAGTAATGCTGGAACGGTTTTATTAACAAAGTTTGTTTCGCTACAGGATCAAATAACTTTCCATGTCGTTTGACCATAAAGATGTATTTTAAATTTTCGTGTCAGTTGATATAGGCATTAGTTATTGGTGTGTATCTTGGTAATTTTCTTCCAGGTTACAGAGTACTTAGGAATCGTAGTGTGGCGCTTAGACAGTTCTATGGTTAATGTAATAATATTATATTACAATATTACATGATATCGATGTAAAACTGAACGAAAGTTGTCAGAATAATTAATTTTACCTCTGTCTAATATACTTGGTCCTTTTAACTGTCATTTTTTTTTGTTAATTTTTTGTAACATTTTTGTCCATATTTACTGTTACAATTTGATTTATTTTTCTTGTTATGATACATATTTTGTCAATGTTAATTGCTGCCTTTTGGTCTATGCTTATTGTTGTATTTTAGTCTTTGTTTACAGTTTCATTTTGCAGTCTATGTTTACAATTACATTATGTTATGTTAAATTTTTGGTCCATGTTTATTGTTGCATATTTGGTCTATGTTAATAGTTGGTTACATCTTTGGTCTGTGTTACTGTTACATTTTTATGTGTGTTTACTGTCCAGGTTTACTGTTATATGAGATATTTTGTCTATATTTACTTTTACATTTTTATTCTATGTGTACTGTTACAGTTTGCTGTCCATGTTTACTGTTATGTTTCATTTTTTATCCATGTTTATTGTTGAATTTTGGACCCATGTCCTAGTCTTACCACTGCAGATTAATTCCGTGTTTCATATTAACCACGCTGAACTTTTTCAACAATTTATATGTAACCAATCAGTGCTGGATGTTTTATTGCTAATGTTGCAACACATAGTGATTCTATAGTACATCCTATTTATCTACACCTCCACCACCACCACCTCCACCACCACTTCTTAATCCGGGGGGACCGGTGGCTCCTACATCGCCAGTTTGGCCCGTTGGTCCTGTTGGTCCTGTTGGTCCCGTTGCTCCCGTTGGTCCTGTTGCGCCTGTTGAGCCTGTTGGTCCTGTAGCGCCTGTTGGTCCGGTTGCACCTGTTGGTCCTGTTGCGCCTGTTGGTCCGGTTGACCCTGTCGCTCCAGCAGCTCCGGTCGCTCCTATCGCTCCAGTAGCTCCGGTCGGGCCTGTCGCTCCAGTAGCTCCGGTCGCGCCGGCTCCTCCATTTGGTCCTGGTGGGCCTTTAAGGACATCTGATTGGAAGAGAATCAATCCCAATGCTGAAATAAAAAGATGTGTAACTAGAATGTTTATAACTGAATTATTATATTGATTACACAATGTAAACGTGATGAGGATTCATATCTATTTGGTTATCGTTTTAGTCATTCGAAAATTCCTGCCCAAATCCTTAATATATCTATTTAAAGAAATTTGGATATACAATACAGCTCCTTAACTGAAGTAAATCGACAAAATTTATTTGATTTTTACATTTTACATTTAAATGAATTGTATCTAATTTTCTCACTACATCTAACGCCCAACTTGTGATATCTTTGTGACTGTGTGTATGCTTGCATTTTGTCGACTAGTCTTGACAAATGACGATTGATTACATGTATTTACATAGATATACATAGTATGTAAAACTAACCAAATAAACTGAAATGAAAAGAACGTATTCGGTTCAAAATGTATACATTTGCTTGACATTCTGTCGGTATTATCTGATATTGAGAGGTATTGAATTTTGAGACTTGTATATATCCCTCAAGAATAGTTTTAAAGTTCCTTCTTCGACTATTAAGTTTGAAGATTATAGTCTCTTATCATCACTTACGAGCCGAAAAGGACGAAATAGCTGAATGATGGGTCCTAGAGGGGCTAAATAACGGTTTGATGCAGTTAAATTAATTATTTTGCTGTACTTTATCTGATTCTGAACAGAATAACAGGTGCTATTGACTTGTGTGTCTTAGTACAATCTGTACGGTATGTACTGTATGTACAGTATCATCATTTAGTATTGACATATTGATAGACAGGGGCAACATCCAATGAACAGTAGATAAGAATAAATGTATGCATAAATCATATTTAGTTATCATTTATCAGTCCTGTTCATTTCCGATTTTTAGTATGTTAAAGAAAACAGTGGGATGATGGCGAAATCGCCGTTTATGCTCTATATACGTATTTAAAAGAAAAAGGGGGTAAAAATACGAGTGTTAATGATTACTGTTTTTATTTATGAACGTCAAAGCCTTTAAACATTAACTACCTTGTTCCCGTCATAGAGACCGTGGCATGACATTAGATGTGAAATGTTATTATATATGGTTAATAATGATAACTTGGATTAGTATGTATAAAAGATTCAAATCAGTAAAGGTATAAAACAAAACACTCACAAGAGAGAGAGAGAGAGAGAGAGAGAGAGAGAGAGAGAGAGAGAGAGAGAGAGAGAGAGAGAGAGAGAGAGAGAGAGAGAGAGAGAGAGAGAGAGAGTGTGTGTGTGTGTGTGTGTGTGTGTATATTATCAAATGTATTATCATGAAGATATGTATTTCAAAATATGATGCTCCTGAAAGAAATTGTTTAATGGAAATAAGAACAAAATAATATTAATCGTCTCATGAATTTTTAAGCTGTCGTTTCATCAAAATGTTTTACTCTAGAGGTAATGTTCCATGATATTTGAATTTTTGTATTTACTGTGATATATTTTTAGACAATACAAAAATTGGTTCGGATCCGAACCTATTTCATAAAAGTATAGTTACTTCCTGTTTAATTTTCGTTGAGAACCAAACATTCTTGAAATTTTAGTCAACTCTTCAGTGATCGGATTTTTTACTCATGATGTCGTTTTTAAAGGATTGATGTGGTATGTAGTCAGAGAGGATTAATTTGGATTTGGTGAAAGTAATAGGATAATTGGGTAGTGTACTCACCTAACCAGGTCTTGATTATGTGGCCAGGTGATCGGGAGGAGGGGATAGGGATTAAAAATCGGCAAACTCCCGACTGAATCGGGAAAGTTGGCAGGTATGAAATATTTTAACGTTGGAAGTACACAAATTTTACATAAACGATTTAGACTAAATAGTCCTTGAGCGGACCATAACCCCAGTTCCCATCCCCTAGGGAGAAGTTTTGAAGTTTCTGAAAGCTTATAGAAAATGCTACAAGAAAATTCATGTTTACCATCTGGCCATTAGAGCTTTTGGGCGTGGCACCATTGTTAAGTACCCCATTGAGGGGTAACGTCATTTTAAATCAACACATCCATAAAATTCTGCAAACGTGCAAAAGAACATAGGACATAAGATTTTGTGATATCTTGATATATTTCAAAACTAGATTGCTATAAGGCAAAATACGTTATCAAGATCAGATGTCATAGGCACTGAATAAAAAAAAATCTGTGGGAAAATGATTCTTACTCAAAGCAGAAAAACGATAAAGCAATTTTAACAGTTTTGAAGGGTAACCTTATTTAAAGCCCGCTGATTTTGTTGACATATCACCCATACTGGTGAACAATTTATATATGAATTGTATACCCGATGTTGTTATCACATCATGAATGTTGAATTTTTGTTGTATTAAAAATAAACGATAAAATAGTGCATTCAGTATAAAGCATCATTAATCAGTACTTCGATTTAATCTTTAAAAATTCATTTTTTATTGTTCTATGCATGGTCGTAGCAATCATCTTGACAACAACGACAGCAGTCTATGGATTTTAGTTTACTCATTTCTAAATAAACACCTGGTATTGATTTCTTAAAATTAACAGGCAAATTTAATTCTCCGGCATAAATTTGTCATAGTCTATAGGCTATAATAAACACAGATAAAAGAAAACTTACAATGTACATTAACAGAGAGCTATATATATAAGAAATCGTCAAATGAAATTTTCAAATCCACTGTATACAAAATATAATAATCATTTTACAAAGGAAAGAACAACACAGTTTCAACAAATTCAGAATTGGAATAACGGAAGAAATTCTCTTTTCTCTTTAATAATAAAAACAAAGTACATAAAAACATTACTACATATCATCATAATAATGCTAAAATGTCAAATAATGATCATGATGTCCATGCCATGAAACAAACTATAAAAAAGACTGTTGATAAGTGGACAATCTATAGATATTAAACGCTGTAAATTCATTTTACAGGGCACAGGATTAGATTATTTTAAACAACAATACTTTTAAACAAAGATTTCGACATTGTGTCCAGTAACGATGAAGCATGCTTGGTATATAATCAGTTCACCAACTGGTTTGAAAAAAACCTAATGTGCAATGGATACACAGAATGTCTAGTAGGGCCGACATTTCTAATACTTTGAAACAACATATATTGATTGATAATGTTTGGTGATACTAGTGATATATTTGATCTGATGCAACAATTTAACAAAAGTATTTCGGCTATTGTCTCTGCAGGGAACTACCATTTTCTTGATGTGTGATGTCTGAGCTGAAATTAGCAAGAATTGGGAAACTACTGATAATGAAGTGATTATAAACAGGTTATTGAAGAAGAGAAAGGTAAATGGCTGAATTACGGTCGAATTTCGATGTTTTCGATGAGGGTTTGTTTTCCTTGTACAGTGTATCTACATGATATCTTAATTCATTTGCTGATATACATCATGTTTATGTTGCCAGCATGTATATGTTTTAATATGGAATCTGAAATAATATCTTGAGGTACATACAGATGTATGTATATCTTTGATATAGATAAATTAACTTGCACACTTTTATTGTCAAAACACAATCAACTAAAGCAGGTAAATGAAGAACCACATGAACATAAGGATGAATGGTTCTTGGAGTACTAGTTGATCCAAATAATAAAATGAAAGTTATCATATATATTATAAAGTTATCAACATTATACATTGCAGACTAGGATTGGCGGCTTTAAAGGACTTCCACAATATAATCCACTAAATACCGCTAATACAACAGTACCATTATGTAGAACAAAATAAAAAACATGTTTAGTTAGTAATGTATTAGAAATTATCAAAAACGTGTACCCGAGGAGTACACTGCAACATCGAAAATATATTGATAGTATTTATTTAATCAACTTGATATTTTATAGATTTGACTACAGAGAATACCAACATACTCCTTCATGTAGCATTTGATATAATTTGACATTCCTTTATAAGGAAACAACAAATATTATAGTTCATGCCGTAGCATTTTAGATAAAATGGAGGCGACGAACAGAGGGCACATAAGCGTTGGAATCCAAAATCAAACATTGCGACAAGTAAACCTCTGATCAATAAACATTTGCTGTCAATTCACTATTCTACATCAACGCTGCCATCTTGTTACGCGAGCTAGGAAGCAATCAATCTCCCAAAATGGTGTTTTTGAAGTAAAGAGAAATGTTTTTGAAGGTAAAAGAATCAAGTTATTTTTTCATGAAGTAAACTGATTCAAAGCAAAAGATATATCGTAATTAATCGACATATTAGATCATTTTATCATTATTTTAGAAGGTTTGCAACAGTGACTCATTCTAACGTTAAAACATCACATACAGTCAATATGGCAATGAAAGAGGACAACGGACTTATGAAATGTGCATTATATAACGTATGTTTCGGCAAGTAAATTCCGTACAGTGTCCCCATGTGGTCAAATCATCTAATTTATTCTCGATGTGTTCAGATCAGTTGTACTTTAGTCAATGTCGCTTCACTTAAAATGTGGGTTGTTATGTAAAAACTTCAAACTTAAAACATTGCAGAGGAAGCAGTTTAACAAAGATTTTTTGAAGAATTGTTCAGTCCTTCTCTTTCATTTCTTTTTTATGAGAAACAGCAGCACTGTGTAGTGAAGGCTAGTGTTTTCTCATCGTGTATTACTACTACACAATGATTATGGCAAAGCTGTGATGTCAAATCAAATGTTTTCACCAACAGGACAGACATACTGAATTTGTATATATATATTTGTGTACAAGATTTTTTAAAAGTCATCCAATGTCTCATAAAAGTCATCCAAAGTCTCATGTCGATGAAAAAAATTAATCATGGGGATAACGCATCCAATTTTGTATGACTGAAAGTCACTAGTAGATCTATTTTGAATTAAATATCACATGATGTTAATGAAATGAATAGGATGAGTGATAGAAATAACATAAAGAAAACAAATGAGAAACGAAAGGCTTCAAGCACCTGGTTCAGATGGAAAGTAATCTGTACAATTACCTATACACGACACGATGATGCCGGTGCTTGGAAACGGTCTCTGATTTACAGTACCGCCATCAAACTGGAATCCAAAGGTCGCCACGATTTGTATAATAAATGGCACCTATATAACAAAGGCAATACTATTAACAATGATTAATTAAGATCATGTTTTTCCATTGTCATAAAGTAAACTTTATTTTGATTAAAGATAAATTTCGAGCTACAACTTCGCATATCCTGACATTAGGGACAACAGCTCTTTTGTTAAGAAAATCAACAATTCAAGAATTAGAACTTACCCCAGAGTGCCTTTGATCTTTTGAAAAAATCTGCAGACAACGAAATATTCGATTTCGAGTTGTATTTGTATCTCAAGAAAATATCCCAAATCAAATAGCCTCCAGTCGTTTTTCAGCTCTGATACCACGTGTTCTCCGACGTTAAGCATCTCAGCAGAATGCGCTTCAGGTCAACATCTCACTCTATCAATTACTCGGGTATGTGTCAGAAAGGATAGATGATCTTAACTGGGGATGGTTAAAGACGTGATATAAATGTTAGTGTTTCAAAACTTTAAGTATTTCAGCAGAATGCACTTCAGGTCAATATCTCGCTCTATCAATTACTCGGGTATATGTCAGAAATGACAGATGATCTTAACTGGAGATGGTTAAAGACGTGATATAAATGTTAGTGTTTCAAAACTTTAAGTATTTCAGCAGAATGCACTTCAGGTCAATATCTCGCTCTATCAATTACTCGGGTATATGTCAGAAATGATAGATGATCTTAACTGGAGATGGTTTAAAGACGTGATATAAATGTTAGTGTTTCAAAATTTAAAATCACTGCTGTACTGCAGTAGAGAAATGTATATAATTATATCTAAAATAATCCCGCGTGTGAGTTTCTTCCAAATGGATCAAACTTTGGATAACCTGATACCTGAAGGTAAAATGAAATAATAATGATTATTATTTCATAAAGTAATTCATATCGTCATTTTCAAACGATCCGGACCCCGGTTCTGTGGACAATTATGTATCACCTACGGTTTCCGGAAAGTGATTTTTTTCCCGGAACGAGATCTTGTTACATTTGTTTGCTCGCAGTAAAACAAAACATCTGAAAATCCAACTGATTTTTGCCAAAAAATGAAGGTTCATTCTTGTCCATTGCGTCGCCTCAAAATATTTATTTATCTTTTAAGTACACATACAATTGAATGTATTTTTTCCAAATGACTCGGATAGACCGCTGTTCCTTCAGACAATTATGTACCGTTCATGCTTTCCGGAATGTACCATATACTTCCGGTTGAGTACACGTTAACATGTATGAACGGTGTGTTATATATGGTATATTATTGGCAGTATTTTGTGCCCCTTCTGCTCTAAGTATATTCAATAATTCTTAATATATGATTTTCTGGAAGGTTACTATGTTACTTACAGGACGTATTGACTCAATTATATTCCTTGTTGTTATGGTGTTGTACAATAGTGGCCGTGCCGACCATGAATCAATTGCCGTTGTATTGTAGTAGACATGTATTAACGCTTGTCACTTGCACACGGTTTGAAATAATTCCTACGGTTTTTTAAAAAAAAAATTGTTTTGTTTTTTTGTTTGTTTTTGTTTTTGTTTTTATATATTTAAGTTAAAGGTATGGGATAACTGCAGTTGCTTCAATAACATAGCCATGGGTACATGTAGAGTTGTATGTGTGCTTTTTTATGCAAGTTCCTCTTTTTCTATATTGATAAACTGTGCTGACTGATGCTTTAATACTTTTAACAAATATTTCAACATATCTTTACATTTTACTGGTGCAATAAACCAGTGAACATATGATAAATATATACTGAACCGTGCATGCCTTAGCTACTTGTGGGTTAATGTGTGATTCACAATTCCAGCATTTATGTTATGAGTTACTCATGGCTTTCTTTCTTTCTGTCTTGCGGAAATTCTTTTTTCATTTCTATCTGTTTTTCTCATTTTAATTCTTCTTTTATACCATCTGGAATGAGGAATACCCTTTTGCAAATTAAAAATGGGTGAAATAACTATACTTTCTGCGAACTGTCAGGGTTATGGTGATTATATTAAGAGAAAGGATGTGTTTTGTTATTTGAGAAGTAAGAATTACAACTTATATTGTCTTCAAGAACACATTTTACGTTAGAACTGGAAAATAGAGGAAAGACTATTTCATACTCTTCTTATAAGAAAAAGCAAAGGAATTCGAGAGAAAGTGAGTTGATAGAATCTACAAATTATCTAACGAATCAGGAAAGAATTAATGTCATAGAAATTGAAGGGAAAAAGAAGGAATTAGAAGCCATTCTTTTACAAAAATTAACGGGAAGTATTGTAAGATCTAGAGCACAGTGGAAAGAAGAAGGGGAAAAACCTACCAGTTATTTCTATAGCTTGAAGAATAGACACTTCACTTCTAAAATAATTCCTAAAGTCCAGAAAGAGGATGGTACCATGATAAAAAAATCAGGATGATATTTTAGAAAATGTTAAGCAATTTTATGAAAATTTGTACAGAGAGAATACCAATCTGACTGATATTAATCTTGAAAATTATTTGAATTTCTCTGATGTACCTAAATTTACAGAGTCTGAATCTCTAGAAGGGGAAATAACTCTCATGGACGCTAGCAACTTTTTAAAGCAAATGAAAAATAATAAACGCCCAGGATCTGACGGGTTTACTGTTGAATTTTAAAAAAAATCTGGCATAAAATTGAGAAATTTGTTGTAAGATCATTAAATTTTGGCTTTTCAAATGGAAAGATATCAGTTACACATGTCTTAGAAAATTGGCGTCCAATCTCGTTACTTAATATAACTTATAAAATAGCCTCTGGAATGGTCTCTTATAGAATTCAAAGTGTTTTACACAAACTTATTAGTAATGATCAAACTGGGTTTTTGATCAGGAAGGTACATAGGTGAGAATACATATTTACTTTATGATATTATGAAATTCACAGAGGAAAACAATATACCTGGCATGATTTTGAAAAGGCATTCGATTTTGTCTCATAGAGTTATATAAAAGTTTTGACTTTTTTGGTTTTGGCAATGGTATTCTAAGATGGTTTAATACATTACACAACAGTGTTTCATCAGCAATTAACCAGGGAGGTAATCTATCTCCCTTTCTTTGAAATTGAATGATCTTGTCGTCAAGGCGACCCAATCGCCCCATATATTTTTATCCTTTGTGCTGAAGTTTTAGCTAATCGTTTAAGAGAAAATAAGCAAATTGGTGGAATGAAGACAAATAATTTTGAAATTCTTACTTCTCAATATGCAGATGACACATTTCTTGCACTTGATGGGTCAGAAATGTCACTCCACAAATCTAGTATAGAATTTTAAAAAATTGCAGATATTTCCGGTTTAAAAATGAACATAGACAAAACTCATATAATTTGGAGTGGAAGTAAAAATATAGTGAAGACACCATGCTCCCAGAATTTCATCTTCAATGAGGAAAAACTAAATTTACATTATTAGGTATTGATTTTGATGTTAACCTTGATAATATTCCAAAGATTAACTTAAAAAAATTGAAAAATTTGAAAATTACAAAATTTGATCAATATCTGGAAAAGTTCACATTATCAAGTCGCTTATGATATCCAATTCAACCATTTATTTATTTCACTCCCGAATCCATCTTATAAGATAATAAAAGAAATCAATAGTTTGTTAATTGATTTTTTATGGGATAAAAATCAGAAATAAGAAACAGTGTGGTTTAAGATTATACTGATGGATGCTTAAAAATGCTCAATTTGAATATTTTTATTAACTCTCTAAAATTAAGTTTGGTTAAAAGATTGTATAATATTGATGGGAAATGGAAGTGTATTCTAAAAGAGTATGTTGGTATTGATATGTTAATGAACATTGGTGGTGAATATATCTTGAAATATAGTAACACCTGTACAAATAATTTTTGGAAGGATGTCTTTAAAATTTGGTACAAATTATTTTATTGCAAAGAATTAAAAGAACAACAAAATAAACATTTTTTGAAAACGAAATTGTGGCATAATAAGAATATAACTGTTGATGGTAAGCCAGTCTTCTTTAAATCTTGGTATAGATCAGGAATACATATCATTGCGGATTTTCTTAAAAGTGTTGATAACTTGTTTTTACACATTCGAAGAACTTGCAGAAAAATATCAGATCAACACAAGGATTAATTATGGCAGTTCGCAGGTACATTCCAGTCCCTCTGCCCTTTAAAATATTTCATGTTTATCGTCCTTTCATACCTTTGATTATTCATCTCTTTTTGCAAAATAATAGAAGCTCTAAAATATTCTACAACATACTCAATCAAACAGACACCATAGCCACTGGCAAGATCAAATGCAATGAGCAATTTAACTTCACTGAAGAGGACTGGTGTAATATCTATAAAATTCCATTTACTATAACTATTAACACAAAGCTTCAATGCTTCAATGGCTCCAATATCGTGTATCACACAACATTCTAACCACTTATTCAAAATTGTTTAAATCAGGTCTAGTTATCAGTCCAATATGTATTTTTTGTAAATGAAATAGAGAAACCATTGTTCATCTGATGTGGGAATGCCATGAGGTACAAGACTTTTTACAAAATTTTGAGACACTTCTAAATCCACTATACATATCATTTGCAATCAATAATCAATCCTTTTTATTTGGCCTTATTAACGATAGAATGTCTACTATATCACTGACAATATTATTATTTTAATAATAAAACAGTACATTTACAGATCCAGATGTCTTTGTAAAACTTTGAATATGGCTGCTTTGGTAAAAAAAAATATAAAAGGATATTATAACATCCAAAAATATATCGCAAATAAAAGTGATTCTCAGAAAGCGAATTTCTAAAACTGTTGAAAAAAATGGGAAAATTTGATTCTGCTTGATCTCTGATATAAACCCCTATATTAATATTACTAATACTACCTCTTTTGCCTTTTACTTAGCCAGCCACATTTAATCATATGTCTTCTTATTTACTTATTTTCATACAAATACCCATTTCCCCTCTCATCTCCTATACTCAATACTTGGTGTGCATGGTGAATGAATGCTGCTAGGATGTAATGTTTGTTTATGTAAACTAGTGTCTTTATGTTTTCAGTTTTGTACGTTTATGTTATGTCATCCTTTTATCTATATGTATAAAAATTTGGAAAACAAAAAGAAAAAAAGTTAAAAAGTATTAATTTCGTAAATATTAATATATCTAAGTATAACGTTAGGACTCAAAAGTGATAATGAAAATACATAATAATTAATAATTATATCAACAAATAATTTAATTTTGTTGTCTGTAGCTTATCAAATATTCCAGAACAAGAAATTAATGTTTTGTTGATGATAATATATCCAAATTGTGTATTTGGTAATATCTTTAAAAATTAAAACATTGGTGTAATGCAGCTCAATTATTGGGTACTGGGATGTTTACCTTTCTAATGTCACCGATTCGATATCAAAATGTACGCTCTTTGAAATAATCAGATATATGACAATTATGAAAAGTATTGAATTATACCCCTCCCTGTCTACATTTTGACATTTCTTATGATCAATATCATTTCTCAGTCGCCTCTAAGATTAACGAAAAAATAGAATAGGTTCTTGCCATCACGGTCGTGTACTAGACAGTTGGATCTACTAACAACGACGTGGCAATGTTTTATTATCATAAACATTACAGTGTAGGGAAGACAATAAAAAAAACGATAAAAAGTTGGACAAAGTGGACATTAGCATTATGAATTAATTATCTCATTGACATCAGTAATGAAGTTAGCAATGATACCAACTCACGTTTTATAGAATTGATTAATGTATGTAACTTAAATTCATTTTGATGGTATCTACAATAAAATATTGACTGTTCTCAGTAAAATTTAACAGATAATGCTATTCGTCGCCAATTTCGACTTAATTACATGAATTTGACCTTTGAATATATTTAACAAAATGCGTTCATCAAACATATGTTTGACATAATTTACCCAAGAAAGTTAATATTGGGATAAAATAACTAACCGATTGCTACTTAATTAATTCTGGTTGTTTTTTGCCATTTTAGCCCAAAATCCTACAATTCTTTCTTTAACATTGATACCAAATTCTTTGTTAATCTTGAAATTCTGGGTATTCGTTTGAACTTTATTGTAAACTTTCGATAAGAATGTAATTATAGGAACCCAATACTTCACATCCATAAAATACAATAGGTGTGATAGCTTTGTCAAATATATCCAGTTGTCGAATCTAAAGACAAAATATCATCCCTACATTTAGATCTAGAAAAATACATGTATAAACATGAAGACAACGCTTGTTCATTCTAATTACTCATGATCCATGAAATGAGGCAAAAGCACGAGGAAACGAACGTACAAGAAGAACACTACCGTGCTCTTAGAAAGGTTAAGCATCATCTGTTTATTGTTGATCCCGGTAATTTCAAGTTACCGTACCCTGGCAATAACAAGGGAACGACAATATATACTAACGTGTCTAAAACATCAACATTATCTGCATTATATAGCATGAAAAATACAAACTTATGATCTGGAACTCGTCCTTAAATAGAATACAGTCATTATATGTGTTATATTTGAACTCCTGTAAAATTCGAAATCTGTTTTTTTTTTTTTTTTTTTTATTTCTGTTGCATCCGTAAGTGATGTGTAAAAAGACACATTATTTTATAATAATAGAAACACTGATTTTGTTTTTATTTTCGTTAAATAATGACAGCTTAATAACCAAAAGTCTGTAGGTCTTACTATTTGGCAAGGTAGCTGTTCATATCAGTTTGTATCAGTTTGGTTAACATTGCTGAACTTGACCTCTGTTCAAGGTCACACAAATGAAATTTGATAAAATAAAGACATTTTTGTGCAAGTGCAATTTGAAGATTTAGTTAGCAGCTTTATACAAATCTTTTGATGAAGGTCAATGAAGTGACCTTATTAGATAGATTATATACAGTAATAGTGATGGGTTTTGCCTTTGTCAGTTCCGATCCATAATTTGTGGCACTTTGAGAAGTTAATAAGAGATAGAACAGTTGCAGTTTGCAGCACATTACACTGCGCTTTAGTATATAAGAACTGCTCAAGTGATTGCTTGTTTGAACTTGAGTGTTGCATGGACTGGGTTACTTTGATCTTGCCCGAGGTGTTGAGCAGAGTCAAACGGGATTGCATTCGCTCACCAAGGCAACGGTTCCTCAAGTCCCTCTCTGGTGTAGACACATAAATTGGTCCATATACAGCATTCAAGGAAGCAGTAGCCACAAGCCATCTTGACGTAGTACACTGGCGGTCCTCGTTGGCAGTAAGTGTATCATGCTTTGTCTGACCTGACAGAAGATAGGACGTAAAAAACCCTGAACCTCGCAGCAGCCAAACGCATGCTTAACCCCCCCGGTCAACAATCAAACTGTCATCTTCACTGAGCCACAGGTTCAGGTTCTCACCTGTTCCAAGATTTTTTGTCAAGATATTTGCATCATTTTTATTGCCATAAAAAGGCCCAGTAGTGTCTAGTACATAGCCATCCTTTAAGACACTATGAAATGTGTGAGACACATACTGTTTTTGTCAGACCACATAAGACACCAAGTTTAGACCATGAAATACTGGTCTTCAGTTTAACCCAGAAAAGAAACACAGTATGATCCTCTATTGATGTCTGAGGAGCAAATGCTATGGATTTGCTGCATTTGTTCAAGTGTGTAACCAGTCCATGCGTTGAATTCTTCATTTCTGAGATGGTCTACATCTATGCCTGTGTTGTTTGGAGTACCAGCAGAAAGGAAATGGCTTAGTTCAAAAAGGTCATTGATATCCTGATTAGCTCTTTCTTGAAGATGAAGAGCTAACGGTTAACTTATTTGCAGATCTAGTGGCAAAGAAAGATTCAGAAAGTCACCAATTACATGGTCATCGCAAACACGAGCATCAGAGGGACACCATAGAAAATGGAAAAATATAAAGTTTGTCGTGGCACTCTGGAGTATAGTGCATAGCCCAGTGCCCTCTTTTCTACATGTGACACATCTTTTATGTGAAGTGCCACCATCAAATAATTTCTCAACAACGATTAGTGGTAGTTGGTTTGGATGACATGAAATCAGTGTAAGCATCATCTGCATCTTTCGCCAGGTCATCTGGGGTGCTCATACCAAAAGGCCTTTACTTAAGGTACCGCTTGTAGCATTTTCTACATAATATGCTTTCTTCTTTTATGCTAATGATCTCATCAGAAGTCAGCAGCTTGTGCAGCCAGTTATACTTGGGTAAATATACATGTCTTAATTGAGCCCGGGCTCCTTGAGATAGATCTTTCAACCTGGTTTTGCAACCACGACCTATGCACACGTCTGACATGATTATTAGTAAACTTGATGTTACATTTACAATAATTTTAATTTAATTCAGAATATTTGACATAAGTGTAACTTTGTCTATGGAATTGTCTATGGATACTTAGCAGAAATGGTATGAATACTTTATAGTAATATCTTACTATGTTTCAGGAAATAAACATACTTGCACATTCAGATGTCAGACAAGATTATCATTTCTGGCCTCATTTATTAATTATTAATTAGAATATCTAGTTAATTTATATCCATTATTGTTATATTTAAAGATGAATGAAGAAAAGTTGAATGACGATAACATGTGAACAGTAATATTGATTATTTAATCATTGTTAAGTTTTTATAATACAAACTAAATTGTCAGTTGTTTTTAGAGGATACCTACTGAATTCAATTTTAAAACAAATTTAAAATACTTATTATGCTTTGTTACTACACAAAACTGGAAAACATAGTAGTATTTGGCACAAAAAACAACGAAAATGAAATCTTCATGATTATGGCAAACTATGCAATAAGCATGTTTAAATTGCTAAAAATATATTTTACCGGTTTTGAAATCACTTTAAATTTATGCAATATACAGTATATATACGCAGAAAGTTGTTTAAATAAGTATGAAATATAGGCTGAGATTGCAACTATACAAAATGAACTTGACAAACTTTGATATATTCCGCATTTTTTAAATCAAAGTTATCAATATGCTTACATTTTATGCCAATATGATATATGTGGTTTCCAAATAACGGACATGTTATGTACTTTAGGCTGGTTTGTAAATATTTTCATTTAAAATTATCATGTAGCAAGTATTTGTCATTATGTTAGGGTACCTTTATCACTCAACCTGGTGTTATGCAAGGGGGTCCAGTATTACTATAAGTAGTTATAATGACTAATCATTTATGCGGTTGTAGGTTATTTTTTATTTCTACCATTTTACTTTAATGTATTCCACTCTCAGGCCATTGTTTAAATATGGCGGGTGTTGGATAAATTTAAGTGATATTCCACTAGTGGTATATGGCCTTCCGAATACATGATTGGTGAACTTTGACCCGAACTACATTTTTTTCACTCGCGTGATTTGTTCCACGTGCGATTTGTTTAATATCGTCTGCTGTCAACATGGCTGAACTGGATAGGCTTGAGGTGAATGTAGGTGATAAAGTAGGGCTATGTGATGGGGAGAAGGGTGTAATCCGGACTATTTCGAAAGCAGATAATAACGTTGGGTTTGATCGTTCCCAAATAGAGCTTAATTCGGGAAAGACTGTTACAGAAGCCAGGTATCGTTTCGACGTGATACCGGCTTGTCCGGGCCGCGACATGACTTTGTTTCATACATTGTCTGAAACCGTTACTATATCCCAAAATATCGATACTCAGAACGGTTTGTCTGATGATTCCCTTGACGAGTTTGATATAGATGGATTTATTGCGTCGGAGGTAAACAAGAACACAAAGAAAAAAAACTGACGCTGATGTCAAGAAAGTCCATGAATTACTTAAAAAACGTCTTTAGAGAAGTGCGGCCAATTGAAATTATACCCCCTGCGCATTTAAACAAATTGCTGTGTATATTTTTCGTGAATGTACGGAATCTAAATGGCCAGGAATATGAACCAGCTTCTACCAGAAGTATAGCCTGTAGTTTAGATCGATACCTGTAGTCGAAAGATTAGGGGAAACAAATTTTAATAAGCCCTGAGTTTTCTAAAGTTATGGATGTTATCCGGTCTAAACGAAAAAAAAAAACAAAAAAACTGAAACGTGAGGACAAAGGGAATCGTGAAAACAGGGCTGATGCTATATATAATAACAAATTATAAGAATCTGGACAGCTATGCTGTAGTAATGCCGAAAGTTTGCTTAGAACAATTTGGTTGAACAATACGGTACATTTTGGAATGCGCAACGTTACCGAACACCGAGATGTGAAATTATGTAAAGATTATGAAAGTAATGAATATCTTGTGTTCCGAGAGCGTCAGACCAAAACTAGACCGGGTTCCAATCCCGAAAATGTTAGGGAAGTTCCTCCGCGTGCCTGGGCTTCCCCCTAAAAGCCATAACGATGCGCTGTCGCCACTTATAAAACCAACCAAGTACATCGCCCGCTTACGTACTGTAACCCTGAAGCCCCCTACTATATCGCAACTAATGCAAACTCTGACAAATCAAGCAAGTGGTATAAGTCTCATCCAGTTGGCGTTAACAAACTAGGAACGATTATGAAGACTATGGCAGAGAATGCAGTTGTCTTCAGCACATTCAGCTTGGGCCGTACCATTATTTGTGTAGGTACATCTACCTGTGACATCTAATCACAGTCTACGAAACCCTATAAACGTATAAAGTCACAAATTCATTGGCCCATAATTAATCTAGAGATGATTTGCCATTTATACGGCTTGGCTATTTTCTATTTAGTATGCTTATTATTAACTAAATGCCACGTGCGATGTATATTCGGAGTTGTCTTAAGTAGTTTTAGACAAGGAATTTGTGGTCTAAGTTATATTTCACGAAACGGGACACAGTTCGCTTCGGTTTTATGAAAAGAAAATATTTGGACCAAAATCTTTAATTAAAAGTGCTAATTAGGCTTAATTAGGGTACGTCTTAAGGAAGGTTCGTCAAGGAATATCGCGTCTTAAGTTGTGAAATTCATCACAGCCTCAAATAATCCATAAAAGGAAATTAAAATTAGGCTTGGAGCGGAATCCTTAATTAAATTCATTTTTTGAAAATATCCGGGAGGTGCACCGGCACCCCAGGGCAAGTGCGCGCAACTTAATACTGGTCATTCCTTATTTTGTGGCAGTCAATCTAACTATTCCACACCTCAAATATTTTGGACCTAAATTCTTAATTAAACTTCACCTGGCTCCCGGACTAAAACTTCCTGTGTCGCTTACTGCTCACGCTCACGCTTGACAGAATAAAAAAAATAAAACAGAATAAAACAATAACCGATGTTGACTTCAATTTGTTTCGAGCCCAAGACCGTGCCCGCTATTACGGCCGACATTTATACAGCGTCGACAGCAAAACGATTGAAAGAAAGATAAATGAGAAAAGAGATTGACCATTACCAAGACACTCAGTTCTACAGGTGATATAATATGGTCCCCTAAAGATCACATGGTATGGGAAACAGTCGATCTTATACTTGTGCTTTCTTATATAAACTGTATCTCCTGAACGACCAATATCACAGACAATACACGTGTTCGCGCGCTTCCCTACGGACCAACAAGAGTGATCAGTATTGGTTGAAAAATACACGGTTTAATTTTAAGTGGACACTTTTCCCGATATGTGTTTATCATGGCTATTTGGAATCAATGTGATTGTCATCGATCCGTTTAATTTTCTGCCGTTAATTAGGAAATGGGACGCTAATAGCAATCTTTGTCGTTTTATATATTTCTTACTTATACACACGATATGCATATTACATTCAAATACAAGGATTTTTAACATATTTATTAATAACGTTAAAACCCATCATGTGAGTAAGATTTTAAAATGTCAAGTTTGACCTGAAGTTTTATACACATGTACATATCTTTCTCAGTATCATATTTCGACCATGACAATATTCGTTTTCATTTTGTAATTTTGCTGACACTACTGTATTAAATATAATGCATTTGTTACCTGTGGTAATTTGTTTTAGCATTCTCATTATAATGGCAGGAAAATACTGACATCTATGTGTACTTAGCTACTTATTAGGTGAAATCTTTACATATCTGGGAATGAAACAGAAACTGAAAGCGCAGAATATCCAAGGATTCGTCCACAGGATTGGATATTGTGACTGGAATTAAATGATAAAGACCAGGAACTATAAATTTGATTAAGGTACTGACGCCTATGTAAAATGAAGAAACGAGTGAGTATAAACACAGATGATATTATATACAGACCTGGATTTATCAAATGATGTCGTTCCATTCTTGTAATGAGATTAAACGTAATAGGTCTATTAAACACCCTGAATATCCTGTAAACATCTAAGGTCACTTAACGACGACCTAAGTGTGTATGCGAGGTGAGGGAATGGGTCAAATGTGGCGTTAAGGAAAACACGTGTAAGTGCGGGCTGATAGTGACTGTACAATGCCACTAACAGGGATTAAACAGAAATATTTCTATTTCTCAGTATTTAACTTATTGTAATTGACGATTCGTATAGACGAAATTTGTCTAGTTTGATAGCACATTAATTGTAGGGATTTACGATCATTAGTGGGTACTAAATTCGGAATAGTTTTTATACACAGCTAAAGGCTGTGAACTCAAGTGTTTGTGTGTCTATATTAAGTTGCACGGCTTTACGTTCAATGTCATCAACATCAGTAACAAGCGCGAGAAAAGGTAAACAGGTGAATGATATTAATGAGTTTGAAGTAAAAGCTGCATTTCTGCAGGCTGTAGGCAGCATTGCTTTCAGGTCAATCTACCATTCCATTACGCATCCTTCCAGGCTAATTGCTTGCGGTTTTTTTGTACTTTTTAAGGCCTAAACTTACAGGAAGATGAGCCAGGCCCCACTTGTATAAAACATCTCAACTTGAGATTTCCTCAAGTCGAGATTTTCCTAAGCTGATATCTCCTCAAAAACGGCTTGTATAAAATTTTCTCAAGGAACAGGAGGAAGGCATCGGCTAGGATGTCCTGAAATTCCTTGCGGAATTTTCATACAAGATATTTTCAAGGAGATAATAGCTGAGGAAAATCTGGGCTTGAGGAAATCTGAAATTGAGATATGTTATACAAGTG